GACTGCATTTTAGGTTAATTTTAATGCACTGACTGTATAGTGTTGCCTTTATAGGTTGCTTGGATACAAGGTGGATGATTCCATGGTAGAACAGCAGGACAATTTCCTAAAACGCATGTCGGGGATGATCCGTCTATACGCTGCAATCATCCAGTTACGGTGGCCGTATGGTACAAAACAAGCTTCAGTATGTGATATTTTGTTTTCTGTAGTTTATCTGCCTGTGACTGTTTTTAATTAAAGCTCTTAATTGCTCTCTGTACAATTTATTGACAATAGGCCTGCCTAGGATACCTATATGAAATAATTATCTGTATTTGCTTGTAGCCTCATCCTCATGGACTTAACCATGGTTGGAGCTGGTTGGCACAACTACTAAACATGGAGCCTCTTGTGGATGTTACTGCTACTCTTCTTTATGATTTCTTAGAGGTGAGTTAGTTTGCAGTGTGGTGTGTTTAAAGTAAGACACTCCTGCCACTTACGTGTGTTTGTGGTTTTTTTTGTTTCCTCCAGAAGTCCTCTATGCTCTTTCCTCTCATATCTTGTTTCAGCTGATTTTTTTTTTTTTTTTTTTTTTTAGTCCATATTTTTGAGTTCTGTCCTACTGGCACATATTGGTTGGCGTCAGTGATGTGATTTGCATCACTGATTTACCCATTCTACAACCACTTACCAGTGCACGAACAAAGCTGATGGCAGCTTTTTTTTTGTAAATCTATTTGAAAGCTGTTTTTGTACAAAAGTAAAATAGAAATAAGAGGATCCATCAGAGCGATTCAGTGACAGTTTAGCAATAGCACAATATACCAAGCTACATAAATTTAAACATACCCCCGTGTTTGTCACTTTTTTATATTTGTACTCCTTTGGATAAAAAAGGGGAAACAGGAAAAAGAGGTATGGATATATATGGGAAAAAAAATAAGACACAACTTCACAGAATATTCAAAAGTGTTTCTTATTTTACTGCAATAATGTCACTGTATGACTTTGTCTATGGGAGGTTTTAAAAGAAAGCCAACAACTGATCTATGGCTCTTAGCAACGTCCATCATTCTCAGAAAGCACTATAAATACAATCATCACATACACAGTCATGTTCTAGATTGACTGTAGAATCGCATCTCCAGGTTCTTTAGTGGTAATGTGCACTATAAATTACATGTATAATAAACCTTAGAACCAGAACAGTAATTACCTTGGAAGCCTGTTTTTTTGTAAAATTCTGTGCTGATGTATCAAGGCTTTCTCTGTCCTATAAATCATATGTTGGTGCAATTTGTTCTTGTAAGTGGAGTTAATGCTTAGCTTGAAGACACTTCTTTTGAGCGGTTACCTTTCTTCTAGCTAGCATAAGCCCACATGGCAACTTGGTTTTTCTCAAATTATACTTTTTATTTTTGTTTGTAAATTGTAATTTTTTTTATTTATTTTTATTTTTTTAGGTGTGTGGAAATGCATTAAGTAAACAATACCAAGCCCAGTTTTGGAAGCTGCTTCTCCTCCTTAAGGATGAATACTTTCCAAGGTTTGCAACTCTGCACCATTTCTTGAATTCATTTATCCTCATTAGTATTGGTCGTCATTTATTTATTGAGTCCATCCTCAAACATCCTCTTCATTTTCCTTTTTTTTTTTTTTCTTTTTTTTTTAGGATTGAGATGATAACCAGTGCTGGGCAAATGGGCTCAGTCACCCGACTTAGACAGTTTTTGGAGGTAAGAAGCCTGTAGTGGTTTAGTATTCCCCTTGTATGGGGCTGATTGATTATGCTGAATTATTTACAACTTTTATGCTGTTTTAATTATTTTTGGGGTGTTCACCCCATTTTATTACAGACCGCCTTACTCCGGAAAGAAATCCCCCTTCCCAAAGGATATTTATCATCGTCATTTTGGAGGACTTGATATGAATTGTTCCCAAGATACCTACCCTAAAACTTTTTTTTTTTTTCTCTCCACCCTTTTCCCTTTATCCAACCATGTATATGAATTATTTTAATTTAATATTTTTCTTTATTTTTGGGGGGGTTTTGATTCTTGTTTTATTTTTAAAGTCTTTTATTTTAAATTTTTGTAAATTTGTCTTACAAAAACCTGTTTTTACATTTTTTTTTGTAACATACACATTGAATATTTCGTTGGATTAATATTATCTTTGGCTGTTTGTTTTTTTTTTTTTTTAATTTATTTTTTTGTTGTGCACAAGGTAACAAAACATCTTACAATGTCACAACAGCATATGTAAGCGCAGTAAGATCACAGTATTTCACAGATATGGCATTAAAGTATCGGCACATTTTTAAGGTATAGAAACAGACAGGTTATGCTTACACAAATCGTATGTCATAGAATGTAAAGAAAATCAAAACATGCAAGACGTGGGGGATAATGAGCTCGTTAGAGTACTGGTAGCTAACCAGAGTCTGAAACAAACTAGGAGCATCAGCTGACTTCACAGCGTCTGCTTGGTAATTATGAGTTAGATCAGGGGCTCTCAAACTGTGGCCCTCCAGATGTTGCTGAACTAAAACTCCCATGATTCTTTGAATTACATAGTGTGACGGTCTAGCGGTCAAACTAAGTCCATAAAATAGCACAATTTAAACCTGCAGACTGCTCCAATATAATTTAAAGCGGCAGACAGAGTACAATAAAATCCAATATTCCTAAATAACATTTTCAAAGGGCAAAATCTTCCAGGGGCCATAGTCGCAGGGCAGGAGGATGGCAATTAGTCCTCTCCAGGCACTCTTACACATTGCCAGAGAATCATGGGAGTTTTAGTTCAACAACATCTGGAGGGCTGAAGTTTGAGGACCCCTGAGTTAGATCATGTATATCTATGCTTAGAAAGGTGGTTGACAGAGTATTAGTAATGTTAAGCAGAATACTGCAGTGTGCAGACAAGCTAAAGCAAGAACATTCGATACAGCGGACAGTGTGGTTGATCCAGGCAGTATGGTATAGCGAATATGTATAGAAATAACATGAATGGTCATACTACAGCTTATATTCTAGAGTATATAAACATTTCTTGGGGAACATTAACCCAACGATTGGGGACAAGAGTAGACCCCAGGGAGGTCCGAGGGTGGCGATAGGAGTGTGTTAAAGCAGCTTTATGCTGTTGGGGAAAGTCAGCAGGTCTTTCCCTCAGATACAGTGGTTTTGAGCTAGTGTACCCACTAGCTCTTCCCATCACATTCCAGGAACCCCGGTGAGTATAATACAGTCCAGCCTCCTGGTAGAAGATTGCATATTTCTCACCATCGAGGTGGGCCAGATGGCAGTCCCTCATTCGGATCAAGGTACCACCTGTGGTGCGGCAGAACTGATGGCTGGGGCGCCGCTGTGCTCGCGCAAGTGTTGCCTGCTTCCGAAGCGATGGGCGCCTCTTCGTCTGCCACCATTTGGGGGCCTTTGTCTTAACTGAAGCTGCAAGCTCCTGCTGTCTGGTTGGATTCCGCTGTGAAGGTGGTTGTTCGCTCTGCTGCTGTAAGGCATCTTGGTGCTGCTTCCTTTGCTCCAGTCTCAGCCAGAATTTGTTGAATATTATGTCCAGCCTGGACTGTAGATCAGGCTGTTCTCCGGGGAGGACAGGGAACCTCGTGGTGTCCGCCATTTTAGATGCCTCGCTTAGATTTCTGTATGCCCCCTTGTTTGTGCCTGTAAGGACTGGGTAGCTTCCATGGGGTGGACTAGGATGACCCCGCCGGCCCAGGGTAGGGGGGTGTTGCAGGGTGCTCGCGCAGTGTGGCACGCTACCGGGTCACTCCAAGCTGGGAGTGCGCACGCCTCTCCCGCCCAATGCGCTCCAGGCCGCATATTCCGATTCGTGCCTCAGATGTGTTGCTGTCCTGCTCCCAACTCTTGTGAGGTATGTCAGCTAAGGCAATAGCCAGGTAGGTTGCTGGTTTCAAGGAATATCGAATTGTGTAAAGCTATAAATCACTGCTATCAACAGCCTAGTAGAGGAGCTCACTCAAAGCATGTCTCTCCACCATGGCAGTCATGGTCTGTGGGAGATCGAAGGATGTCTTCTTGCTGAATTTGATCAGTCACACCACTGGAAAAGAGGAGGATGAGGTTTTCTCTATGTGGATCAAGAAGGACACACTTGAAAGCAGTCTTTATGCGGAAGATAAATCTCCCGAGACTTACCATTAATTGGTAGTGCAAATAAATCTGAAAAACAACCCAAGCATTGCTCAGATATTTTGGATCAAAATTAATTCACCATGTCCCCTGTTACAGGATGGTGCCGCTTTCCACTGATCATGTCACCAGGATGGATTTTAAAATGCTGTTATATGCTAGGCAAGCTCTCATGTAAGAAGTTTAAGAGAAACCATTAACTCCCATACAAAAAGATAGTGCTGAACTAGCTGCTTGCACTCATGAAGCAGAAAACAAAATGCAGAATGTGTGATGAACAACCATGGATCTACCTTACAAATGCTGCAGGAGACCATCAGAACCTTGGAAGGTACCTTGGTAATCATCCGTGGCTCAACAATGTGGCTCACAGCTGGGGCCTACTGGATTTGGTTTCACCTACAACTTTCCTAGACTTCCATGTTCTGCAGTTTGCTTCTTGGAACACATGTGGCGGAATTGCTTATGGACCGAGCTCAAAAAACAAGCTCTGTAATTAAATTGGTAATATCCTAATAAAGTGTACAATACTAGAAATACCAATTTAAAGAAAAAAAAGCCACAATGTTCATATTGGCATTTGGTTTTAAGATAATGTTTTATGAAAATGGTTGCTATACCAGCGCAAAAGAATATTTGTGAAATTTGGGTTGTGATTGTTTTTTGATAACTGTCTTGGAGATCACTTCTAGACTAAACCCTTAAAATCAAACCAGTGAGCTGGGGCTTTCAATAGGCTATATAACAAAGAATTTATCATACCTCTTCACATACTGTTACTATCCATTTTAATTATCTATTTCAAGTGTTGTCATTCAGATGTTAATGTTGTCAATAGATGTTGATCTCTAAAATGAATATTGTGAGGAAGCAGCTCTTTCAATAATAAAAAATATCACTGATTGCGATTTATATGTCACTGCTAAGTGTAACAAAAAGACAAGTTAACAAGTGCAAATGTTCAATATATCCAATAGGAAAATGCATGTTCTGTATGTCATTCCAATAAGCCCTAACGCAGGGCTTAAAATTTCAAGTCCAACACGAAAACGAATTAACATGAGTCCAAAAGATAACTATTCCTGGCTAATCATGGCAGCAGGAAAGCATTGAAAAGCATCAGTCTCGCCCACTGGCTGATGTAATTACTGGGAGGAGCGACGCCAACCCGAAACCACTGCCGTGGGACATCGGTGGGGTCTCAGGTAAGTGACCTGAAGGGATTTTTACCCCTTCAGCTACCTGGGATGGGAGGTGGGAGGGAGAGTGTACTTGCAGTGCCAGGAAAACGGATTGTTTTCCTGGCACTGGAGTTTCCCTTTAAGGGGTTAAATAATTAGACTGATCGGTATAAAGAGTCCCTCCTCCCCTTACACCACAGTCTTTTTTTCCTGTCCTTAGCTGGTTCTACAGTACTTAAAATACTTTCTTTTTTGGCCACCTTCCTGCATTTGTCGCGGGTTCTTTCCAAATGAAGTTCAGCCTCTCTTCATTTGATGAAC